GAGCTAATCGATTCACCCCTCGAAACATAGAAAAATCCACTAACATCTCATTTTATCTGTCAAACTTTCATAGCGAATCAAAACAAACATAGTGTAGTACTAGAATTCCTAAAAGAATGGGATACGTTAATCGTTTGCTTGGGACCAATAGGCTAGTCAAGTAGTGAGCCAATTTCAAATCGATAGTTTCGTATTGATTGTTGATACTACTATGTCCTACAGAACCGATTTCCGGGACTCCCGGAACCGATAATATCGCAGCCATACGTTATGGAAATATCTTAATTCAATCTTACTAATCATATTTCATCTATCTGATATCATTTGCTGCACCAGACAACCGCGTGAAAATTTAAAACATTTGGTCAAACTGGTTAAAAAAGTACAAAAAAACACAGTCATATTTACATCTCCCATGAACGAGGAGGGTTCTAAGGCGATGGTACCTACGACAAAAGTTTTGTTCTACTATTCCCCTTGAATAGAAATCCAAGTTTATGAAAATCGGATGAGGCATTGCTGAGAACGAGTTTGTTGAAAAAAATTCGTTAGTCCTGGTACTTTACGGGTTAAATGCATCATTGTTCACATTAGCTACTCCCGCAACCTCCGGGATGCCCCCGGGGGAACCTGTGGCAGGGAAATTTGCATTTTTACACCAAACATGCCGTGCGACAACTCATTCTTCATATTTTTTCATGAATAGGCTTTCCAAAACCTTTAAATATATCAATGACCACATTCACCGCTCTTGGAGCCACCGGGGTCCAATAGGTGACCATGGTTATTTACGTGGCTAAACCATATAACTATATTAGTTTTCCAGTTGAATGCTTTTACAACACACCAAAGTTAATAAAAAATTTGCCTATCGTAGCTATTTTGAGTATCCCCTGTATGTCCTCAACCGTGCTACAAAGCAGGCAAGCAATATATCATAATCGTTCTACAACTCCGATCAAGCTATATTACAGAGAAAGAGATAGAGAGCTTATCGTGGCAGTAGAAGCAAGCGTTTTAACTTTATCGTTGATTGCTTTATGTGTTTGGATTAGCTGGACATTGGTAAGGAATGAGAGATTGAATTACAAAATGGTGTTATAAAAAAATGAACTTGACACAGTTAAGGTTTATAGTACGTTCAGATTACAGAGTTATAACATGTTATAGCGCTATATGGATGGTGGTTTCTGTGTTACAATTATTTGACAACCGTTATAACATGTTATAACTCTCCAGTCTGTAGAGCGTTTTAGAGAAAATTGTTTGAGATCTCGGAACAAGAAAACGTGTCACAACAGAGTGAAGTTGTCTGTGAGTTATAACATAAATCATAAAACATTTGCGTTTCAAGATGATTCCCATGATTCTGTGGCTTTACAATATGTGCAGGTAGAGTCTTGAACAAGAGCTTTTCTTCAAAATTTGTCACTTCTAACAATCTTCGTGATCCTAGATTTAGTGAACCTTGAAGTCAGAATTGTCAAGTCTCTAAGACTTGGAAGAAATTTAAGAGTTATACAAAAAGTCAGAACCTTCTTTAAAATTCTGGGGACAAGCCTGAAATTTTAAGAAAAATTCAAATGTAATGAATTTGTTGATTTCTAAAAAAGAGAAGGATTCCTACATAATTTTGGAAGGAGAAGTTCTGCGCAAAATCCCAAAATTATTCTAAAATGAAGTCTTAAGATATTGTTCGATGAATTTGATGCGAGTAGAATGGAAGTACTAAATTTCTGAAGTAATTTAAGAAGATTTCGAAAGTTGTTGTGAAGAAAATTTAGTTCTGAGAAAAATTGTATGGAGATGGTGAGGAAAATGCCAGATGCATGCCAATAAAATAATGATGAAACAATATTCATAAGTTAATTCAAATAAAATTGATTTTAAAAAATGGCCTGAATTCAGAAAAAATTCTTTAAATTTATTCATAAAAAAAAATAATTCCTCCAATCAAGACAACAAACCAACTAACCCGATTTTTGACATAAAATTGAGTCATAACAGACACGAAATTCAATTCATTCAAACGTAATTTTCGTCAAGTATTGAACTTTTCTGTTTCAGAGCCCTTAACTTTACATGACATGTGTGTTTACGTCTCATACTTTATGTCAAAGATGGATTCCGTCACGTGTAATATTTGTTATTTCTAAGTGTGTAGGATTACGTCTTTTGGCAACATATTGGGGGTGCAGTTTCAAAAAACCAAAATCGACCGAGTTGCGAAAAGTGGTCAGGTTTAGACCACTTATAAATCTGTCAATAGCGGATGGATTTTAATTCTAAACAAGCCAATCGATTGGAATGTCATCTACGAATCTACTAAAATGAGCAGAAATTCAGCTCAATCAAACGTGTTTTTCGTTGAGCAACGAGCTATTCAGTCTCCGAGCACTTAATTCTACATGACATGTTTGTTTACGTCTCATCCTTTATGTCAAAGATGGATTCCGTTACGTGCAAGATTAGGTATTTCTAAGTGTGTAGCATCTTCAACTATGCACTTGAATATAATTTTAAACCGTCACTAGCAATTGGTTCGCGATATTTAACAAGGATGGTTCACTTATTTTTCATTAGGGAGGTTCTTTTAATATTTAAAATTTCAAAATACACGCAAAAACCATAAGTTTCTACAGAATGCATCTGAAAATACTTCTGGAAATGGCCTGTGCAAACTTTCAGAGTGAGTTTAAAGAACCTTTCATAGAATTATGGAAGACACTTAGGGCAAGTTAGTAGAACTTCTGGTGAAGTTAGAAGAAACTTCCAGGATTAATTGGAAGATTCTTCCGGTAGCAGTCAGAAGAAACTTCTAGAGGTAGTATGAACCAAAAAACTGACAGGTGATCTTGGAAGAATTCTCCGGAGGAAACCAGAAGCTCTTCTGGAGGAAGTGTAAATAAACCTCCACACACTTAGAAATAACTAATTTCATACGTGACGGAATCCATCTTTGACATTAAGTATGAGACGTAAACACACATGTCATTCTGATGAATATGCGCGTCTTAGTGGAATACCTGTATAATGAGAGAGGGAAGGATTAGTAATTTTCATTTAATTCCACTACCTTATTTGCTTATCCTTGACAGACACGCGTATTTCGTCTACAATGTGCAGAATTCTTCAGTGTCTTGTACTAATACTCGACATTGGTCAGCTGGTGGGTAATCCAAACCTTTAAATCGATATATCTCCGTAAATATGGCTCTAATCGAGATTTGAGGGGTGTTCAGATGATCGAAATTTTCATTCCCGAAAATCCCAGTATAAAATATTACATAATCCTTTAGATGATGATGGATATTGATGGATACAGATGATCGAAATTTTCATTCCCGGAAATCCCAGTCGAGTATTAGTACAAGACACTGAAGAAGTCTGCACATTGTAGACGAAATACGCGTATCTGTCAAGGATAAGCAAATAAGGTAGTGGAATTAAATGGAAATTACTAATCCTTCTCTCTCTCTCTCATTATACACATGTCATGTAAAATTAAGGGCTCCGAGACTGAAAAGTTCAATACTTGACGAAAACTACGTTTGATTGAATTGAATTTCGCGTCTCTTATGACTCAATTTGATGTCAAAATTGACGCTCGTATATGTCAGTCTCAGAGCACCTAAATTTACATGAATTTTTCTAAGTGTGCAGATGAAGCTGGAAGAATCTTCCGGTGGGAGTCGTAAAAATCATTTAATAAAACTTGAACTAGCTTCCGTGGAAAGATGGGAGAAATTTTCGGAGAAAATTGAAAGAGCTTTCCCGTCAAGTCTGAAGGATCTTTCAAATAGTTTCGGATGAAACTTCCGTAGATAGTTAGTTATTAGAAGCCAGAAGAACTGGAGATTTGGAAGAACATGCTTTAGTCTGCATTTTTTGATTACTACAGTCATTTTTATCGGGGAATCTTGAATAAATAATGCCTAATAATATTTTTTTCAAATAAAGGTAGAAAGGTCAGAAGAAAAAAAAAATATTTTTTTTTATGTTTTGGACATACATTTAATAATTTTGATCCATAAAACTTAGAAAATTGCTTCATTACTCAGATTTACTGTCCTGCCCGAGTATTTTTTAGTCAGAGGAGCGGAACGACGAGCAAGCGTCTTGAAAAAAGCTTCCAAAAGATGCTTCTGTAACAATCTTCTTAAGGGAAAGTTTACAACCCCGAAAATAAAAAAAAATATTTTCGGCACGTTTTCATTTTTCTAAAAATGTTGGAAAAAATTATCAAAAATCCAAGAAAATCAGTTTTTTTCCTTAGATTCCTGGGAAAGTTTACGTTTAATTTTTTTTACTATTACGATTGTTTTAGATTTTTGATATATTTTTCCAATATTTTTAGAAAAATCAAAACGTAATAATTTTTTACGAAGTGGTGAACTTCCCCTTAAGAAGCTTTCTCTGGATGCTTCTTTTTAGAAGCTTATTCTATATGCTTCTTGCCCGTCACTCGGTTCCTGAATCAAAAATCCCACATTTAAGTAAACCACGACAGAAATTGTCCGGTGCAGCCTTGATTAGCTACCCAAGTCTGTTTTTTGGCATCAAACTCAAATCTGCGTGATGACGTCATCTTGTTATCTACAGTGTGGATCCGAATTCGGCAACACGACAAAAATCTAAAATTTTGTGCTGACAAAATCAAAATCTCATTGTGATTTTTCCCTAATACAGCTTTCGTCCTCAGTGGTTTGGCAGTCAAAGTCAATGGATCTGATTCCATTGTTTGATCCCCATTTAACTCTCCATCAGAGGATAAGCTGCTTCAGTCCTGACACTTCTACTGTTACTAGCAACAGTTTGATGGTCAGATTCAAAAGGCAACAATAAATCCCTTTCCCCTAGTTGGTTGATCCACTGTAGCTTGAAAATGCCAGAAAATACATTGGACGTAATAAACCCCGAACATCATCATTATTCCCGTAGGTGCAGGTTCCAGTTCCACGGAAAACACAACGCCAAATCTCTGCGTTTAATCTACTTACTTGACGACCCCGAACCGGTGCTGCTGGAACCTCGGCTCGGGCACTGCCTATGTTTCCACGGGTGCTGCTGCTGCTGCTGTTGCTGCTGCTTGTTCGGTGTTCCCCCGTTGAGGCTGATAGTCGAGGTGAAACCGTCACCACCCATCACCCCTAAGCCGCCCGGTCCCCCGATAATCGTTGCTCCCGGTGGTTCCAGTCCGGTGCCGAAATATTGCGATGGATTAAAGTTGAAATTACTGATCGAGTTGGAAAAGTGGTGCTGATGGCTGCTAATAAGATTACTCTTCGCCGACGAACTAAACTGATTAAGGTTGCATGAGCTAGCGTGGTGATATTTGGTGTTTCCGATATAGTCCCCGCCAATCACGTGACCAACGCCCCCAACCCCACCACCACCACCACCATCGTCGCCACCGCCGTTTCCACCCGATGGTCCGATGGTGTTGTACTTGGAGGGTAAATTCAGCGTGTCATAGTTCGGAATGTAGGATGCCGGTTCATGATGGTACAGGTACAGCTGACCCTCGGTGTCATTCGTTATACCAGAGACAGGAAAGCTCCCGTCAGGATTCTGATAGTAGAAATGTTGATGTAAGCCGTGATTGAGATAGTTATCATCGAAATAGTAGGGCGGGAACTGCTTCATAGGAATAGTAGTGCTTTCCCCGCCACCTCCGCCGCTGCCGGTGTCGATGAATGTGCCATTATTCATCATGTCAAAGTTCGATCCGGTCTTCTTGAGCTTGGACTTGGCTTTGTTGACGTCGGTGCCGGTGATGTTGGCAGTGTCAGCATTGGTCAGCGTTCTGGTGCCTGATTTATTTTTCAGCGTCGATTTTAGCGTGGAACTGGGACCGTTTGGCTGCTGAAGTTGCTGGGGACCGACAGTCGGTCCACCCGTCGATGCGAAATTGAACAAGTCCGGCTGATTTGAGGGATAATTATTAATGATGCCATTGTTGCCGTTGACCGTCGAGGTCAGATCATTAGCGAGGCCGGCTGGTGGCTGCGGCTGATGTTGCTGCCCGTGGCCAGGCTCGTTAGTCAGCGGTTGAATGATGCAACTGTAGCCATAGGAAGGTCGCCGGTTGAGGGGAGGCGGTGGAGGTGGAATCATATCCTCCACGAATGGCTCGTTCTGTGGAAAAGGGGACAGTAGAATGCTAATTAGTAATTTGAGTCAAGGCTGGCTGCTATCATCAGTATGTGGAAATGACGCCAGTAGCAGTGTTTGAACCACGATTGTCGCAAATGATACATTGTTTGAGTTTTAGTGCTCAGCACACGGGAAGGCTCTAGAATTAGAGCAAATACTTTGTATTGTTTGAATAGATCATGAGAGGCTTTACCGTGAAAGTGCAATCGCAATTGGACATTGAAAACCGGCGCGATTGTGTTTAACGGTCATTAGTGAAATTGTTTCTCTTGGGAATGGTTTGAACTTCGTCCGGTGACAAATCATTGCTTTTCCCTTATTGTCGGATTCTCGCATTTAGCAACTGATATGTTCGTATCGGTTCCCCGGACGCGGTGGAACTAAATACAAAGTACATCATGCAGTATGGAATGTTTTTGGGTCTGAGCGGAACATTTCCTATTAGAGAAGTATACATTTCCAAAATGTAGTGTGTAGTAAGTGTTATCTTCAAAATTCGGTCAAATTGATTGCGCTTACGCTTTGTTCACAACTTGGTTCGCATGCGATGTAGAAAAACCAAAACTGTCATGCATGCATATTTACTTACCGTTTTTGAAATAGTAAAGTAATGGAATTTAGGTAAGTATTGTATTCAAAATAATTACATTGCCTGTTATTACTTTTGCAACAAATACAAACAATTTTCTGTGTACCTCAAGAATTCCATTAGAGTAATTAAGTCATCATCAGACGGCTGACATTAAATTGACCTGCTAGAGACGGCCCTCATAGTGGTTAACATACAAACCTCTCACGCCAATGTCACGAGTTTAAATTTCATCCCTGGACACATCACAAATGACCCAAGAGTGTTAAAGTGACCATAATAATAAAAAAAAAAATGTTATGTTTCATTGCACTATGGGGATTCAGGTGGCCAATAAGAAGAAGACCGACTTATTTCGATTTGGATTCTGTAACCTGCTATCGAAAGAAGACTATTTGATGCATACAATTCCACAAAAAGAATTCTCAAAAAAGACTCTATTACTGCGATACAGATAATAGAGATAGTCACCCGCCATTTTTTGTGAAAAGCAGTCATATATTTGAAATTTAATTTCTCTTAACTGAAACAATTTAGTGCTTAGGAATAAGATGTAACTGAAAGGTTGAAATCTTAAGCTTTCAAATGGTATATATTTTTTTATAAACAATAAGAAAAAGCATGCAATATAGGCCAACGAAAAAAAAAAAGTTTTTTTCAGCTTGAATGTTCAATACAAAAAAAGGTTGTAATAGTTTACAGTCGGGACAACATCCACGATTATGTTTAGAGTACCTAGAATGACGTGAAAAAAAAATTAGCTCCGCATAAAAAATGAACTTATGACTAGATTGAATATATTTGACTTAACAATTATAATTAGTGATAAATCAAATATTCGGCAGCTTGAACTCGGGTAAACATAAGGTCTGTTCCTGTACCTTTTTTCTGCTGTTGCTGTAAGATACTCTAAAATAGCCAGGGAAAACCAAAATTAGTAAGTCCAAAATGTGTAAAATTCATGTTTTTAACTTACTTTATTAGGTTTTACCAGATTCTTATTTTACTGCAACATACAGCGGAAGCGTTAAAGCATGTACGGGAAAAAACCTATTATTTACTGAAATTTACGTCCAAGTTGATAAACAATGATGTTGTACCACAGTTGAAAAGATCAGATATAATAGAGCGCTTGCCCAGCGCATGTTAGTAATAAAGCTTCCGGTACCAAAAACAACATTATTCTTTCAACTCGGTTCTGCCGTCGATATCGAGATATGTTCAAAAACAGAATTGGTATTATGATTCATACAGTGAAACACTATTCCACACGTCCTAGGTATCGATAGAAATACACCGTACGTACCTACATGCATATAAAGCATGAAGTGATTCATATGAAGCATGTTAGAAGAGAGGTGATTATTCAAAGATAATATGGAGAACCGATAAAAATTATTAGTTAGGGCAGTTAACTCAAAGAATTGAAAAGGCATTTGAGAACATCTGCGAAAACTTCCGAGTGAATAAAAACAAACAACTGCAGCTGAAGCAAAAATTAAAAAATCTTGACATAAAATTCCGACATCTATGGAAAAAGGCTAACAGACACAATGAGCGTTTTGAGTTTGTTAATAAGGATTTTCTTGACGCGCAGTTTAACATGGAAATATTCGTGGAAATCGAATCAGAACCTTCAACTTAATCGGGATGGGACGGCCATCAAAACAATTCGATGTGGATTCGAAAGTGGATTCGATAGAAAATGCCTGAGCGTGCTTTGGTTCGCGTGTAAAGGGCCTTAGAAAGTTTGCTTACAAATGCTTTTGTGCCGTTATCAAATGTTATGCCTGAAGTGATACAAACTATGAAAATGATCTGCTCTTCTCCGGTAGAGTGCATTGAAAAAAACGTCAACAAAAATACGAGTCCGGCGTGATTTGAGATTTTAGGCGTAATTGCTTTTGTAAACAAATACGTCAATTGCGAATTTCTCGCGAATTAAAGCTCAATCTCGTAAACAAACTATAACAAATGATAGAGAAATCATTTCTCTACGTGATAGTGTTATTAGTTTCCGAGATTGCGCTTTTATTCACGATAAATCGGCGATTGACGTGTTTGTTTACAAATGCAATTACGCTCAAATCTCAAAGCACTCCGGAAGTGAGTAATAATGCATTGATATTGAATTAAGCAATAATAAACGTTTTGATTTTCTTTTTTAAAGGTTAAATTACAATCGCTTATGCAGCATACAGCGGAAAGAATTTTAAAAGTGGTAAGCTCAGAAATTCAACGATACCTCAATGACAATGATCTTGAATACTTCAAGAGCAAATTTTCATTACGTCGAAAGTAACAAAGGTAAACAAAGTCGAGCTATCAGTGTCAATCGATGCTCCTGCTATTACACTATATACTGTCCGAATATAGGATCACATTCCATTTTTAAATTTATTTACCAGTCAAATTGCTTTATGACGTAATCACCTTCCGATCAAAATAGTTTTCGATGTTACCAGATTTCTATGGAGATGCCGTTTGCCTTCAGTAACAGCGCTGAGAAACCCATGAAAAGTGTACGTTCGTCGTTTCGCTTTCTCATTATTAAAGTGAATAAATCGAACTGTTTGTTGCTACGATGATTTCGGTGGTCCTAAAATGATGAATGGGCTGCACGTAAGGAGACGTAATTGATAATTCTCCCGAATATCCTGGTAAATACATTTTGACTTTTAAGTGACAATAGGGGCCACCAAACGACGTATAATAACTTTTGACTCAAAAACCAGTATTTTTAGCATGAAAGCTAGCGATTTGCATTTGTATGATTAAAACCCTGCTAAATATGTTAAACATTGCTATCACTATGATAATATATGTGTTTAATTGGAAACAGGAATAACTTTTCGGTCATCAAAACAAAACTTTATTTTTCTCGGATTGGTGCGAATGTTACTTACGACATAATTGAAATTTGCTCTTGACTTAGACTTAGTGCTTCTGAGTAGTTGGGCATGGACGGATCAACTGGATACTCACAATCAGGCATGGAAAATTTGCCCCTAATTTTTTTTATCAACATAATTCCTCAAAACAATGTATGGAAATTGTGTAGGTTATGCTATTACCTACAACTTTTGTTAACAACTCAAATCCGTATCTCTTATGCATGACGAACCAGAGCGAGCAGAAGCCACTACTGTTTTTCAGGGAATGACTTTTACATTCACTGAAAAACAGTAACAAGTTCTGCCTGGTCTAAATCGTGATGCATAAGAGATACAAATTTGAGTTACAGACAAAAGTTTTAGCTAATAACAAAACCTACTAAAGCTCAAAACATCATTTTGCAGAATGCTGTGGATGAAAAAAGTTAAAGGCAAATGAATGTAAATGATTTTCCATACCTGCTCACAATATCATCAAACGTTCTCATCTGCAAATCAGCAAGACGATTCCGATGTATTTTCGGTAACAACAACTCCAATTCAACTATTTTTCCCTAACGATCAAAAACAAATATTTTGGTATAATTTAACACCACAGAGTATAGGATGTTGTAGACCAATAATGTTAGAGTTTGTTAAAGAATCTAAACAATAAGTCCACGACACAAAGACAAGTATAGAAAAGGAAATAAGTAAATTAGTTCCTATAAAAATGTTTTGATTGATTTTGATTTCGAGATGAGTATGATAGATGGAAAAGTTCTCAATTACATCACAGATACAGCATCCATGCAGAACTGTCCAATCTGTAAAGCTACTCCAAATATTATGACCAGTATAGAGGTATACATGACTACAAACTTTTATTTCGTAAAAAGCTAATAGCATTTTTTTTTTCAGAATCTTGAAAAAGGTAGTATTCCAGAAAAAGATGCACTATACTATGGAATGTCTCCTTTGCATGCGGAGACATTCGGTTTTAAATGAGAGTAAAATGCATATATTGCTGCCTTTTAGGCTTTTAAAATTGTATCATAAAATCTCCTCTGTTTACAAATTGAACATTAAGGATGGATCCTCATAGTAAATAAAAACCATCAAGGATATCTCGAAAGATAAACGAAGTTGGAGGAAAAATTCAAGCGATGCTAACGACCGAAGGTAAGTCGATGTCAGTAAAATTAAGTTCTTTAAAAGAACCAGTACGTCCGGCGGAACGGGTACCATTAACGACTGAGCATCTGGTGGAGAAGAGTGAAGTGAGCGTGGTCCTCAAATTCATAAAACATTGTCAAAACAGTCTGACAACAGACCAGCCTTCTCCAGACCTTGCGAATGGATGAAGATGCGTCAGTACCGACAGCAAACCACTGAAACTGTCAGTTAGCGAACGCTACTTGGTTTCCGATCCAAAATTTTGTAGGCAACATTGCCGCTATAAATGCTGCCATAAATCTGAACGGGTTAGGATCAAGCAAAGTGGCTTTAGATAAAACTTT